GGGGTTGGCTTTGGACGGGGGGAGCAGGGAGAAAAGAAAAACAAACCACTTAAAATTTTAGGGACAACATCTCTTGCCAAAATCCTTTTTTTTTTTTTTTTTTTTCAAAAAAAAAAAAACCACCCCGATGTGAAGCCAACGAAGCAAACAGGAAAGCAGTGTCTGGGCCTGCTCTGAGGGCAGATGGCAGCCTCCTGGGTTTCAGAATGAGTTGATCATTGCATAAACAAGGTGGCCTCTGGGTGGGGGCAGCCCGCTCTGTAAGAGCTCTTCCCCCACGGGCACTTGGGCCCTTTAGTGTCCACATTCTTCAAGCCTGGCAGTGCCCTGCCCTGGAGCCTCTTCAAGTTCAGTGTTGCTTGGCAATGCTGTCTAATAATAACAGTGTCTATTATTCCTCCATGATGACCCTGTGAAGGTGGTGTGGATTATTAGATCCATTTTATGGAAAGGGATACCCTGGGTTTCAGAAAGGTAGCCTTGCTAGCTCAAGGTCAGGTGGAGTGGGAATGGCAGAGGCAAGCACAGGGCATGGGCCTCTGTTTTGCCATTTAGCCAGGTGAATGCAGACAGGAAGGAAGGGGGAAGGCATGCCTGACCCTGGGGAGGGCTGAGAGCTTTAACTGTAACACCACCTTGGGGTTTGTTGAGTGTCCTTGTGTGGTAACAAGGACAGACTCTGGAACAAAAGAGCATGAGCTCAAGCCTCAGATCCAGATCCTCCTAGCAGTGTGACCTTGGGAAGGTTTCTGAAATTACTGAGCCTTGGTTTCCTCATCTGTGGAATGGGGATAGCAGTAGGACCTGCCTTGTAAAGATGCAGTGGAAGTTAGTGAGCTAAAGCCTGTGAAATGTTTAGAGTCACTTCTGGCACACCCTGAGTGTTAGCTCTTATTGCGACATCCTTTCATGTAAACTCATTTTGGGTTTCATATTTATGCTGAGAGGAATTTTTAAATCTTAATTTTAATTTTACAGATGTTGAAACAAGGCACAGAGAGGTTGTTTGTCCCAAATCCGGTAAAGAAGCAGAGCGGGACTTTGACCCAGTGCTTCCGATGCCAAATCTGGATTGCTCCTGGCTGTGCCATGTTGGTTCCATATGCCCAAGTCCTTGGACTTTCTTGCTATTGTTGACCCCCAGGTGTCTTGTTAGATGCTGCCTGGACTGACACTGGGCAGAGTCATGACAGGAGTGTCAGTGTTCCTAGGCTTTCCTTTTTGCCCCATGTCCCATATTGGTGGGGGCTCCAACCTGCCTTGCAAGATGTTGGGTGCCCTTCTTCTGCATCTGACTTATTCTTCCTCTCCGATGTATGTGAACTTATTTCCAAGACCTGCTAATGAATCACTGCCTCAGCAAGGGGGACCTGAGGGGCTGACAAAGCACTGAAACTCTCCCCCCATAGGATTCCATAAGCATCGGGATGATCAATATTCCCATTGATAGATTTATTTTGGATTCCCTGTGTACTTACTGGGTGGTTGTTCTGAGTGTCCCTGCCGTGCTAGCTGCTGGGGATGCAATGGTGGGTCCAAGCAGACACAGCCCTGCAGCTCCTAGGGTTTGGAGTCCAGCAGGGAAGACTGATAGTAATCAGAGTCACAGCGCAGCTACACACTGAGGTAAGTTATCTGAAGGAAACAAATGCAGCTTTGGGGAGACTGAGTAATAAAGAAAAAATGATCTCAACTTGGGAGTCAGGGAAGGCTTCCTTAAGCCACTCAAAAGTGGTGTTTGAGCTGCGTTCTGGAAGGCAGTGAGAGTGAGCTAGTGAAGGGAGGATGGAAAAGCATTCCAGGCCTGGCAACAGCCGGTGCAAAGGCCCTGTGGAGGAACTGACATTTTAGTTGGGTGAGAATGCAGAGGGCAAAGGGGATGGACATGTGATATCAGGTTGGAGGGGGCCAGGGCCATTTTAGGAGAGTGAGTTTCAATAATAGGGGAGCAGGGAATCCACTAGAGAGTTTTAATTTGAGGTGGCAAGGATGAGGTATTCATACCATTGAGTTTGTATTTGTAAAAGATCCCTCTGGCTGTTGTTGAGAGTGGATTGGAAGGAGGTTAGAGTGGCTGCAAAGAGACAGGTCAGAAGGCTACGGATGGATGTGGGCCAGGTAAGGGCCGCCAATACCTGGGGCCAAGGTAGAGGTGGTGGTGCTGGATAGATGGATTTGTGAGCTCTTCAGGAGCTAAATAGACTGTTTCCCGTTCCAGGCACTATAGGAACTGGAGATACAATGATGCATAGGATATAGAAACCCATCTTCAAGGGGCTGACAGTCTACCAAGAGGGAGGCACACGTGTAACAGACACATACATACAAATGCAACTGGCTGTGATGGAGGACTGTAGAAACGGCCACAATATCTTGGTCTGTGCTGTACCCACACTCTTTGCAATATGACTTCCTAGCTCTCCCAGCAAGAGACTGGAGCTGTTTCTCTATCCCTTGGATGGGGGCTGGTCTTATAATGTGCTTCTGTTGATATAATTTAGTAGAAGTGATGTATGCCAGTTTTGAGCCCAGGCCTCAGTTGGCTTTGTGTGCGTCTACCATGTCTACAAACCTTGCAGAGCTTCTGGGAGAACAAACCCAGGTAAGCCTTCTTGATGCTAAGAGACACATGGCCCAGCCATCTCTGTTACTCTACCGGAGAGCAGGCCAGATACCAGATATGCAAAGTAAACATCTTAGACAAATTAAGCCCTGGGTATCTGGCCACCTGACTGTAGATGCATGAGTGAGCTCAACCAAGATCAGCCATGCTTGGCTCCAGTCAGCAGGTGGGTTCAGCCAGCTCATAGATTTGCAAGCAATAATAAATGCTTATTTCTCCAAGCGGGGATTGACAAACTACAGCCTGTGGGCTGACCAGCCACCTGTTTTTGGATATAAAATGTTATTAGAATTCAGTCGTGACATTTATTTATGTATTGTCTGTGGCTCCTTTTGAGTTACAAAGGTAGAACTGAGTAGTTGCAACAGAGATCATGTAATCTGCAGAGCCTAAAATGCCGTCTTTTAAGAAAATGTGTGCTGTCCCCTGGTTTAGAGGTATTCAGTTTTTGGAGCAGCCTGTTACACAGTGCTAGCTGCCTGATGCATAGGTCCTGGAATAAAGGGGCAGGTGAGGGCACGAAGAAGGATTGGTTAACTCTCCATTGACTATGACATGGTATGGTTGGGAGAGGTTCTGTAGAGGAAGCGATGCTAAATGTGTCTTAAGCCATGTGTAGACTTGGGCTCAGAGGGAAATGAATGTTGAGGAATTCAAGGGTCAGAATGATTGTGATCAGGCCAAGGTCACGTGGCAGGTGTCCTGTTTCCTGTTCGGGGATACTTTTTCCTTTGCCCCGGTAGACAATTTAACCTTTTAGGTAAGAGAGACGAGGACGTTGGGGCCAGGTAGAGCTGGGTTCACATTCCAGCTCTACCGTTTCTGAGATGGATGATTTTGGGCAACTTAGTTTCTCTGTACCTAAGCTTCCTCATTCATAAAATGGGGAAAGTAACATTGATCTCACAGAGTTGTGAAATTAAATGAGATGATGGGCAGAGGCTCTGGTATACTGCTTTATAATTATAAAAGAATGCTGTAGAGATAAAGACAGCTTAGAAATACTTGCCATGAGGCTTTCTGTTTTAATCAGGGTGGGAGATTTCAGCTAAAGGAAGTTTTATCTGCCTCCTTTGCTGGTTGCTCTACTGCTGAATTTCTAGTGGGATGGGATGGTTTTGGGCATCAGACATGTATACCCAAGAACCCTATATCTTGTGGAGACCACCTGCTTCCCTTCTGGAATTATCTCACCCCAGAGACTTCCACCACCAACAGCTTCTTGGGGCCCCCACTCTGGGCTGCTTTCTCTGTATTTCACAACCCACTGCAAATGGTGGGAGAGCCTGTGGGCTGAGGGTATCTGGCCACTTTGTGCATATCTCTTAAGTTCCTGTTTCTCTAGGCTGGGACTGAGCCCATCCACGTGCGCATTTAGATGATAAGAAAAAAATGAAGGGTGTTGAGCCAGATTTAAGAAAGTTCTCCTCTGAGCACCTATGATGTGCCAGGCCCTGTGCTGGTCTCTGGGAATTAGGGATGAGCCAGCCATGTTCCTCTTTCTTCCCAGAACTCAGAGGTTGCTGCGGGAGGTGGACCTGCAGCTGGATGTTTTCAACACAAGATAGAGAATGTAGCAGTAGAGCAAGCCCAGGGCTCCAGGGAAGCATAGCTTAGCTTTGGAGTCAGGAAATGATGCTCAGGGTGATTTTGAGCTGAGGCTTCTAGCATAAGTAGGAGCTTGCCAGATAAAGACGGGGGGCGGGGGGTGGGGAAGGCATCCCAGATGGAGGGAGCAGCATGAGCAAAGGTAGGCTGAGGAAACAGCTCAGCCTGGGCAGTGTATGCCAGGAGCTTGGTGTTGCCGCGCGGGGAGTCTGAGTTGAGGAAAAGGTGAAGCCAGCAGAGTAGGCAGGAGTGCAGACCACATTGTCATCCAAAGGACTGAGGCACAGAGGGACCTGGCAGGTGGATGGTAGAGTGGATGTAGGGTGTAAGAGATTTCAATGACCCTGGCCATGGGTCACCATAGCAGGTGATGGTTTCTGCTTTCTTGGCCTCCAGGAAGGGAGAGCTTAAGGAAGTTTCCAGCATCAGTGTGGGTCTGTTCAATTCTGAAGCCCACTAAGGTTTCACCATCAGGTTACATTCTATTTGTTACCAAAGCTAACAGGAGATTTTATCATGTTGCTTCATAACGCATGGTGGGACACAGAGGAGGCTGATAAACTTTATTGAGTGTGTAAGCAGGGGATGGGGGAGTGGAAGAGGAGATGGGGACATCCTATCCTGTGCTGCATGACTCCAGGAGGTGATAGTCAGGCTCCAGGTGAGCACGTGTGGTTTGTGTATATGCGTGAGGGTCTAGGGATAGGGGCAGCGTTGGGCTCAGAGGAGATGTTTGGTAAGCATTTGGAAATCCTTTCTACTCTTCCAGATGAATGAAGAAGTGAATCCAAACCTGGAAGTGGATATTTTTAAAAAAGTCCCATCATCATTTTGGGAGCTGAGATGTCCAAGTGTCACAAAGGAGGATTTCTCAATGAGGAACTGACCAGCAAGGGAGAAAAATACCCTTTACAAACACTTCCTGCTAGAAGTCAAATGGTAGGCAAACAAGAGTTGCACCATCAATGCAGCATTCTTCTGGGTTCATTTTCTGACTTTTGAAGAGGTTGGTTTCTACAAATACAGTGTTGTGCTCCCGGGTCACCAGCTTCCCCAAGCTCTCATCACAGGAGTTGGAACTTTCAGTGAATCAGTTTGTGCAGGGTCTGGGCTGGCATCAAAGAGTTCCCTGATGATGAATCTGTAGGGAATGAGGAGGGAGTCAAGGGCTTCCCCAGTCATGCCAGAGGCAGAGTGACCCAGGACATAAGAAGTCATGCACTCATGCCTGTAATCCCAGCACTTTGGGAGGCTGAAGTGGGTGGATCATGGGGTCAGGAGTTCGAGACCAGCCTGGCCAACATGGTGAAACCTCATCTCTACTAAAATGCAAAAAGAAAAAATAAAAACAAATTAGCCAGGCATGGTGGTGGGTGCATGTAATCCCACATACTTAGGAGGCTGAGGCAGGAGAATTGCTTCAAGCAACTTGGGAGGTGGAGGTTGCAGTGAGCTGTGATCATGCCACTGCACTCCAGCCTGGGCAACAGAGTGAGACTTTGTCTCAAAAAAAAAAAAAAAAAAAATGTCATGCACTCCGTTCCTGCCTCCATGCAGACTTGTGGAGGCCATTTCAAACCAGCAGAGAGAAATTTTTTATTCTTAGTGATTTTTGCATGGGAGACAGCTGACATTCAGAGCTGGGCTGATAATCTTCCACTGGCGTGGATCCTGCAGGAAGAGCTGGCTTTGGTTAATGGCCATTAGCCCCCTGCTGCCTGGCAGACCCTTTGCAAGGCTCAGGGATGAGCAACATGATGGCTGAGGGGATGACCTTTGACTTAGGGTTCCCCCTGCCCCCCTGAGAACCCTGGCTCTCCCTTTGCTAGTTGTGTCACTTTGGGAAAGCTATTCAGTTTCCATATCTGAAAAATGGGACCCTTGCTCACCTCATAGGGAGTAAGTGATACCACGATTGTAAAGTGCTCGAGACACCTTGGTGAACAGTAAGAGCTCCAGAGGCGGCTCCGTGCATGTTGTGTTCATGACCACACTACACAGGCCCAGACTGTGTTCACACAGGTGCATGCCAAGAATCCGATGACACGGTCCCTGTCAGGGTTCTCACAGTCTGTGGGAAGGTAGACATGGGGAGTTTTTGGAAAACAAGAGAGTCCTAACTTACTTTTAGATGTGTGTGTGTATGTGTGTGTGTGTGTGTGAGGATGTGTATGTGTTGAGTGGTGTAAGCCAAAGTATGTGAGTAGATGTGTGTCTGAGCATAGGTGTGTAAATATGTGTGTGATAGAGTTGAGTGTGGTGCATGTGAATGTATCGGTATCTGTGTGAGGGTGTGCATGTGTTGGGTGTGTGCATGTGTGTGTAAATGTAGGTGTCTACATGTTGGGTTGAGCATAAGTGTGTATGTGTGTGAGAGAATTGCATGTACGTGGTGTATGTGCATGTGTGTGTGTATGAGTTGAGTATGTGTGGTCTGTGTGTATGTGTGAGGAAGAGTTTGTGTGTGTGTGTGGGGGGACATAGGTGTCTATGAATGTGTGCAAGTGTGTGTGAGAGTTTGGTGTGAGGGGGCTGTGTGTGCATGTGTGTGTGTGAGTCAGGTGTGGGGGGCTGTTGTGAGTGTGAGCGCGGAGGATTTTAGGTGCCTTTGGTGATTGCTGGTGCCGTGTGTTGAGGGCGGAGCCGTCTGCTGAGCATGCGTTGGGAGGTGTTAGGGGATGCCGGACAAGCTGCATTCATTCATTCAGCAAATACATATTTGAGGTCTCGTCTGTGCTGGGTTTTGCGCCATGCGTGGGGACATCGCTGGTTACTGCGCACCTTTTTTTGCAGTTCTCCTCCATGGGCCGCAACCTCGTTCCTCCCCCTGCTTGGAGCCCTGGGGCTGACCCTGCCAGCTGCGCCCCGGGTTCCCTGTCACTGTCTTCTGGTTGAGTCCGGTCGGTGGAGGGCTCTGGCAGGACGCCAAAGGGCAAAAGGAGAGGGAGGCTCACATCTTGGGCAGCATCTGGGCCCCTCCTCCACAGCTGTGGTTCCTGCCAGGTGGCCCCTCTTCTAAGCCTCCAGTAACGCCATCCCCTCCCCTTGCTCCGCCAGCTGAGTGAGGGGCCCCTACTTGCTAGTTCTGGGAGCCCCAGCATCAAGAATTGTTGTTTCTTTAAATGGTGTTCATTCGCACAGTCAGGTGAATTCTGTTTTCTGCTGCATCCTTACACATCTGGCAATGTGCTTACTGCTGCTTGTTCAATCAGGCTGGAGTGTCTTCTTCTCAGGATGCATTCCCAGCCTCCTTTTTGTTTCTTTTCTCTTTTTTCTTTTCTTTTCTTTATTCGTTTCGTTTCTTTTTTTTTGTCATAAAAACAGCAAATCACCAGACAGGAGACTCTGAGGTTTATTTTAATTTTGAAAATTCTAGATTTGGCTTTCTGTTCCCTTGCCTGCTCTGGGGTGGGGGCTCTGCCCTGGGTGGTTCCAGAATGCTCTTCACTTTGTGGGGGAGGAGGGGGAAGATCAGCATCTGCATCCAGCTGTGCCCTGCCAGGGGCACCCACGGGCAGCTGTCAGCAGCCCCAGCAGTTCCTCCTTCAGAACTGCTCTGCCTCCCCCAGCCTCCTCCCACTTACTCAGCTGCTTTCTGCATCATCTCTTCAGCACCTCCTGACCCCCAACTGCCAGAGAGCCAAAAGGAGCCTTCTAGTTCATCGTGTTATGCAGTCGATATGTGTAGAGCACCTGCTCTGTGCCTGGCCCTGCTCTGAGCACTGAGGATCCAGCAGTGAGCATCGCCAGCAACCTGCCTTCATGGAGCTTGTACTCTGGTGGGAAGAGACAGAGAGTAAACAGAGAGATGCACAATCCTAATAGATCAGGTGGTGCACGCTTAGATGAAAAATGAAACAGGTGGCCAGGCGCAGTGGTTCACACCTGTGATCCCAGCACTTTGAGAGGCTGAGGCGAGGGGATCACCTGAGGTTAGGAGTTCAAGACCAGCCTGGCCAACATGGTGAAAGCCTGTCTCTACTAAAAATACAAAAATTAGCTGGCGTGATGCTACTTGGGAGGCTGAGGCAGGAGAATCGCTTGAACCTGGGAGGCGGAGGTTGCAGTGAGCCAAGATTGCACAACTGCACTCTAGCCTGGGCAACAGAGTAAAACTCTGTTTCAAAAAAAAAAAAAAAAAAAAAAAAAAAAAAAAAAAAAAAAAGCAAAGGAGATAAAAAATGCTGGCATAGGGTATGTGAGCTGTTTCATGCATGGTGGTCTTAGAAGGCCTATGGAGAAGGTAACATTTCAGCCGAGACTGGGAGGTGTGTCCCCAGGGAGAGGCCCACAGATGTCCAAGAGAGAGTGCATTAGGCAGAGTGGGCTGCAGGTGCAGAGGCCTTGAAGTGGGAGCCTGTGGGGGGACTGCAGGAAGAGTGATCGGAGGAAGGATGAGGAGGGAAGTGTCTGGTCATGAGATCCCAGAGGCACAGAACAGACCTTATAAGGCCTCAGAGGCATGGGAATGACTTTGGAATTTATTCTGAGTGAAATGGAGGCCTTTGCAGAAATAGAGAAGCAATAAAGATTTCAGGATCACTCTGGCTGTTGTGCAGAGAAGGTGGAGGGTAGGCAAGAGCAGAAGCAGAAAATCAGAAAGGGACTGTCCTGAGGACAGTAAGACCTGCCTCCCTGCCAGCAGCGGCATAGCTACAGCACAGTGTGACATAACGCAGGGTTCACATGAGGTGTGGGTTGCTGCTGTTCTTGTAATTGACAGCATCGTCATCACCCCAGCCGTGTGTGAACTTGTGGAAGTTATTTTTTCTGTCCAAGGTTCAGGCTCTTCATCCATAAAATGGGGAGAATAATATCTACCTTTTAGGGCTGCTGTGAGGATTTTTGCTGCTCAGGTATATAATTCTCACAGAAAGTGAATGCGATAACTATGATTCTCATTTTAGGGATGAGAAAACTGAGGCTCCATCACTTAACCAAGGTTATACCCTGCTCATCTGATTCTAAACATTCAGGCCTATCAGAAGGGAACACCCCCAAATCTAGGGCTAACCTAGAGATGTATCATGTCTGTGTTTTCTGTTCCTTTGTGACTAAGGTGAGCTCAAGATCCTTTTGTTCTAGTCCAATAGATTCTAGGTTCTTACCCCAGTGACCAAGGAAGGCCCAGAAGCCTACTTCTTTGACCATTACAAACTCACAAGTCTATCCTGTTGGCTCTGAAATCAGTTAATCACATCAAGAGGGACAGATTCACCTTCGCTGTGCTCCGTTTCTCACAGAGGCATTGTGGCGATGAATAGACGCTATAATAATGGCAATTGATTCCGTAGTTTCTAGTCAGGTACTATGCAAAGCATTTTAGACATGCTATCCCATTGAACCCCACAGCAATTCTATGAGATTAATATTCTCATCTGCATGCTACAGGTGAGGAAATGGAGGGTTAGAAACCCAAGGTCATGTTCCTAGTGAAGGGCAGAACCGGGGTTTGAATCTAGGACTTGGTAACCCAGGTGTGTGCTCCCTCTGCGAATATCCCCTGCTTATTCTTCTATTCTGTTTCCAGCTTGGTCATGAAATATTCATGCATGGAATAACTAATTAATTAGATGACTAATTAATTTATTTGGCTGAATGAATGGTGCTGACTTGGCACCATGGGGAGAGTAGAATAGCTCAGGGAAAGAATGACTGATTGGAATCAGATGGGTCTGGAAGGAGGCTGGGACTTCTGGGCTTGCTAGCAATGTGGTCCTAGGCAAAGTGGCTGGCAGGTTAGAGACCCCCCAGAGATGTCCACATCTGAATCCTTGGAACCTGTGATTGTGTTATCTTATGTAGCAGAAAGGACTTTGCAGATGGAATTAAGGCGATGGATCTTGAAATGAGATGGTTACCCTGATGGGCTCGATTGAATCACACGAGTTCTTATAAGTAGAGACCCTTCCTGGTTGTGGTCAGAGGGAGAGATGCCAGGAGAGAATAAGACTCAGAGAAAGACTCACCTGACCATCACGAGCTTTGAAAATGGAGGGAGAGGAGCATGGGCCATGGGGTGCAGATGGCTTGGTTCCCCAGATCAGGGCTTAGAGTCGGGAATCACCAGCTTTGGGTCCTTCTGAGCTGTGTTCTGCCATTGCACCTCTCTAGCTGCACATTGAGGGAAAGGTTGCTCACTTTTTTACTAGGTCATTGAGGAAGGTTTTTCTTTTCTTTCACCTCTCACTTGCCATGTGACCTGAGCTAAATG